GTTTTACAGGGTCTTTTAGATAAAGGGCTATGCCTGAAGAAATCCAAGTGCGTCTTTTTGGCCGATTCTGTTGATTACCTGGGCTGTCGACTCGATAAGAACGGGCTACGTCTGCTACCTGACACCCGCACCGCTTAACGAAACTGAACTACGATCACTCATAGGAATACTGTCCCATTACCGTCGTTTCATACCAAATTTATCTATCGTTCTTTCTCCGCTCTATGACCTACTGAAGAAGAAATCTAGTTGGAGGTGGTCCCGAGGTGGACAAAGAGCAGTTGAAAAAGCTAAACGTCTGCTGACCTCATCAAGGGTACTAGAACACTATGATCCTGGAAAGCCGACAATGCAATGCGATACCTCACCATTTGGGGTAGGTATCGTACTCGGGCACGCAGATTCTGACGGGACTATCCTCTTGATAGCTTTTGCGTCACGCACTCTCCAGTTGGCGGAAAAGAAACACTCCCAACTTGATCAGGAAGCACTGACCGTCGTATTCGGTATCAAAAGATTTCATCAATACCTTTGAAGTAACGTTTTTGAAATACATACCGACCATAAACCGTTGTTGTCTCTATTAGGCGAGAATAGAGGAATAGAACAACTGAATGTATCCAGAATGGTGCGGTGGGCGCTCTTGCTCTGTCTACAACTACCGGATTCGCTATATCCCCGATCAGAAGAATCTAGTTGCTTATTCCTTGAGCTGTTTGCCGCTCCGTACCCCGACTGACGAGCTGGACGAAGTACCTGTAGAGTTTGTACACTTACTGTATCGCTTGGATAACTCTTCAACATCGAGGATCGAGGTTAAACACGAAACCTACAGGGACCCGGTATTGTTCCAAGTTAAACGGATGATGTTACACGGCTGACCAATAAAGGTCACAGAGGAACGTCGTCCTTACTTTAATTGTCGTTCTGAACTGAGTCTGCACAACGGATGCATACTAAGAGGTTCGCGCATAATTGCCCCCAAATCAGTTAGGAACAAATTGCTGAAAGTACTACACGACGTCCACTCAGGTGTAATACGAATGAAGGCCCTCGCGAGATCGTACGTTTGGTTGCCTCAGGTGAACCAGAACATCGAGCAATTGGTGCGTTGCTGTGACTACTGCCAACAACATCAAAATAATAAACCAACAGAACCGATACAGCCATGGGTACTACCGGATGGTCTCTGGCAGCGCGTGCATGCGGATTACTTCGGACCCGTGGAGGGGAAGATGTTTTGTTACTTAGGATGGATTGACGTCCATTTGTACCCAACATCACTGTCATAGAACTTGGCGATCGAAAAACGATCCGTCAGAACAGAGATCATGTGGGTTCGCGCCTGACCAATAAAGTCACTGTGGAGGACACAAACGAGAGTGTGGAAAATCACGAAGAAAAACACAGTGACACTTCACAAGCCCTGTCCGGTTGTGATAAACCGATTACGGTCCGTAAACCTGCTCGTTCACCATAACCCATTGACCGTTTCGTTCTCGGGCGATGATTGGGGGAGATGTGTGTGAGTCCGATATACACAGATTTCAACGCATCCCTAAACCAACTGATTCGTATTGGGTAACAACGTACCACGTTATCTGAGAGACAGAGGTATGCTACGTGCGCATCCGTCTATCTGTTCCCATGGTTGGTCCAATCAAATAATAGACACTGACTAATAGCCTTCCAATCCGCTTTGTTCGTGCGCCAGCTTGATCTTGTTTTAAGTCATCTTTATTCGATTGTTGTATTTTCACTGTCATTCATTAAATTGTAAACCCGATTCCAAACTGCACGCTCTCTTAAGTGTGTTCTGATTCGCCAAAGTATTCTGCGCATTGGCGTCGCGGTTGGAATTAGGTCTTAACACTCGAGTAACCCACTTCCATTCATACCATGGTGCACAACTTCTCGTTCATTTGGCCGCTCCAACAAAGGTTATTCTCTGAGTGAAACGATCCTTTGTGTGTTTCTTTCAACACCTCGAGGCTTGACCCGTGGGCTGTATCTGTGACTGTACGAAACCCGTGTCACATATTTCACCAAGCAGTTTGCAGTGCTTGGGATACGTTTGTCCACTCTCGTTTAAATTTCACTCGATCAACTCACGAAAGCTCTCGGAATGAATCGTAAACAAACAAGATAACTTGTGAGTGAGTAACTGAACGAATGAGATTTCCGTGGTTAACCTTTCAACAGATAGCGATGACCAAAGCCAAGTGTGCATAAGTGGAGGAGGAGGACTCCTAATCGGGCGTACACGCTGAAACAGTGCGATGTTGCACTTGTCACTGTCAATTGAATTCAACCAAAGGCACACAGAACAAACTATGACTGATACGACGATGCTTTCAATTTAGGTTTACGGCGCGGGAGGATGATATTTTTGGACATTTACTGTAACGGTTAAAAAAATGCACATCTGGTTCCTTTTCGGAGTCTGAAGACGAAGACCAAATACCAACACAAACCGATTGATAATATTTTCATTTGAAGCGTTCAATTGTGTGTCAAGCTAATTTCCTAGTGAAGGTGTAAAACAGGCTCAGGTGCAAAAAATCAGGTCAATCCTGTTTTGCTTTTGACTGTCACTATGGCACAAAGAAAAGATGCATGAGCGCCACTGTTTACGACGCTCAGCCATATCACTCAGTGTCTCTAACCATCGGTTACGATCATCCTGAAGTCCCCATCGGGGACTATGTGACCCAGACTCTTGCTTAGAGTTTTCATACCCTCATGCCAGGTCTTAGCGTAAACACCCTTGACTTTCTTCCACCCACTATCTGTTTCGGCGAACATCGCTCGCCGTGGCAACCTAATTGGTGACATGCGTAACACACACCCCAACCAACGTAATTTATGGCGGTCGACTACCTACTCCAGTGGGCAACCATTAACAAACAGCCGGATGTCGTGACGGCACCACAGATGTCTCAAGTTGGCAAATCCCAATCAAGCCTTCTTTATACGAGCTGACACTTCATCCGTGATGCGTCCACCGGGTTTGATATAGCTGGCCAAATAACAAAACTTATCCACCTGCTCTATTACTTCCCCAGTTAGAGTGAGGCTGGGTGCAGGACCAACCCAGTATTGAAGTAACATTTTACACTTTGGAGGTGCAAAACGCATACCTAACATGGCTACACTGGCACTCAAACTATCCAGAAACGCTTGCAACTTACCTGGATCTGTACTTAGCAGCACAATGTCGTCTGCATACTCTAGATCAAACAGCGTGCCACCTGTGAGTAAATCGATACCGCTATCGTCGTACGAGGATGCCATTAACAAACAGCCGGATGTCGTGACGGCGCCACAGATGTCTCAAGTTGGCAAATCCCAATCAAGCCTTCTTTATACGAGCTGACACTTCATCCGTGATGCGTCCACCGGGTTTGATATAGCTGGCCAAATAACAAAACTTATCCACCTGCTCTATTACTTCCCCAGTTAGAGTGAGGCTGGGTGCAGGACCAACCCAGTATTGAAGTAACATTTTACACTTTGGAGGTGCAAAACGCATACCTAACATGGCTACACTGGCACTCAAACTATCCAGAAACGCTTGCAACTTACCTGGATCTGTACTTAGCAGCACAATGTCGTCTGCATACTCTAGATCAAACAGCGTGCCACCTGTGAGTAAATCGATACCGCTATCGTCGTACGAGGATGAGGCTGTTTTCATAATCAGATCTATAACAAAGTTAAATAGGAAAGTAGAGAAAGGGCATCCCTATTGAAGCAGTAAAACACAGATATCTGACGACATTCTATATTGTAGTCAAGGGATGCAACCGATTGATGCAGAAAAGGCAGATTCAACTCACTATAT